TCTCTCTCTCTCTCTCTCTCTCTCTCTCTCTCTCTCTCTCTCTCTCTCTCTCTCTCTCTCTCTCTCTCTCTCTCTCTCTCTCTCTCTCTCTTAGTTCTGTGCCTGTGAATGTGATTTGAGCTCAGGATCTGTGGCTGTGAATCTGATTTGAACTCAGAATCTGAAGTCTGAACTCCATTGTGTGCTTGTTTGTGTTTTGTGTTTGGCCCGCCCATCTCCTTGATTCAGGTGAATAGATTTGTGGCTCCTAAGGCAAGCAGGAGAAAAATAAAGCCTATCGCTAGCCGGTCTAACATTCTACTGAGGGATCAGTACAAATGCCAGTAAGTGTGTCATTCATTACTGGGGGGTGCGATATGTCACACTTACACGCATTCTCCTCTTTGCTTTCCCGTTTCCGTTTGATAATGAACCTCGCTCTAACCCGTCCTCTCTCACCTACACCTGATCCCCCTCCGAGGAACCTCTGGATTGGACTGCAGCTCATCCTAGTCACCTGTGTTTGTGCATCTCTTTCTCTGTGCGTGTGTGTTTTTGTGTTTTATAGAATCAGCCGACGTCGACGTCAACGCCAAATCCCTCTCCAAATCCCCCCTCCAGAAGCCACACACAATTTTCTGAACAATGGAGGGTGCAAGACTGGACATGTTAGTATGGTTGACCCCCCAACTTGATTAAATGACTCCAAAAGTCACTAGCAAAAAAAGGATGGGATGGGAAAGGAAAGGCTCTGCACACTGGACACTGACTGGCGTGGTTAAGCTCAGGGTGCGCACATGCCCCATCTGCCTGAAAGGTACAGCAGCTGCACATCTTGTGTGTGTGTGTGTGTGTGTGTGTGTGTGTGTGTCGTGTGTGTTGTGTACAAGTGTGTGCAGAGTCTGCAGGCCTGTCACCCAAATGCTACACATCCACCCATCTTGTACCAGACCCTCAACGGGAACCCCGATTGGATGGTCCAAAGGGAAAACACATTTTTTTTCCCCTGCGGGTGTGAAAGTAGTCCCCCAGGAATGGTATTACATGGCCTGCATGGAACGCCAAAATGATACCCTGATAATGAATGCGCACAAGCTATAATTCCGGTCGGGTACAGCCAACCGCAGATGGCAAACCCAAGCCGAAGTGGAAGGATGTGAAAGAGAAAAGATGGCGAGTTGAGAACATCCAACTCTCAGTCTCAGCGACTCATCAGGAGGCTGAACCGTCAGCAGTCTGCAGAATCCCCTTTTCCTTTTCCCTTTTGTTATTAATACTTATTATAATAAATGTTTTGGATCAGAACCTCTCTTGACTCCGGTTTGGACGACGCTGTACCTAACGCATGGCGATGCGCCACATGTATGGTATTACCCATCGGCTCATTCTGTTGATCTGATTGCTCAACATATACACTTTCACGATTTCTTGTTTTTCTTTTACTTCAAAATCACTGTAGCAGCAGATTGCGTTTTCATAAATTACTGAGGGGGGGGGGGGGGGGTGTAAAAAAATGCAACGCTACTTCAGGGCTTCGTGTCTTGAGAAGGCTGAGAAAAAAAAAATGAAGTCGTGACTCATGTGTACAAAGTACTGGACGCAACCCTTCCCCACCTCGTCGTGCGATGTCCGGAGGTTGGGGCGATCTGGATGTGGTGGGAGCAAATAGAATCAATTAAATTAACATAGAAATTGATAGAATATAAAAATATACGGTAAATACAGGTATATAGGTCTCTAAATAAATATGTAGAGGAAGTGGCAGACAAAACTCCACTGAATGTCGATGAAACGGATGATGCTGCGATCCTTGTGGGCACCGGATGCTGCTGCAATCCTTCTGGGCACCTTGATAAAGGTTAACAGATTGGCCTTTGGGGACCTGATGGCGGAAGAAGTCGTGCAAGCAGCGGTGTTGTGGGCCCTATGGACACCAAAGGACGAGCGATGCAGGCAAGGCGCGACTCCGCCACTGCAGGGATATCAGGAGCGGGTAATGGAGAACATCAGGATCGCCCTGATTTCGGACTTCTGCCGGAGCAAGCGTATTGGGGAAGCTAAAGCGACTGGATTCCGGGAGAGATGGGGCCCGTACCCGCAGCTGGTGACTTGGGACCCTTGCACAGAATGGCTGCAGTATGGCCCCGCCCTGCGACGCTATGTGCCCGGACCTGAGATGGACAAAGAGCGGGCCTGATGAAGACAGGCCCGTGTGACCATAGCGGATGCCTACTACTAGATGAAGACAGGCCCGTCTCATGCTGGCAAAAGGACAAACTTTGCTTACAAGCTGGGGATTGCTACTACTGAATGCAAGGCAGGATAAATAGGGCACTGCGAGCTTGGGAAGGGCGGACTTCCCAAAGGAACTAAATGTGAGGGGAGGTCTTGGAGGGCGGCAGTGGCAAGATCAGGGGAAAGACCGGGAGTAAGACTAGGAAGACTCTTATCGAAGCTAGGAGGGCGTAAGTCGGCAGTGATGCTTGTTGTTTTTTTGGACCTCGTTACGATAGAGTAGCCACGACCGAGTTTGGGTTTTGCGGCCTGAGAGGCTGCTAGGTGGGCCTCCCCCGCGCCTCGCCTTTCCCGAGGCTTTTCTGCTGGGTGACTGGGTGCTGCCAGTAAGCTTCCCAGTCCGCAGAAGCCCCCCAGGAAGGCTGTGGTTTTTGGGAGGGGGGGGGGTCGGCTCGTAGCAACCCCCCCCCTTACAGTAAGGGTTGCTCAACTCTAAGGGTTGGGCTGAGTCTTCTTGACTTTCCTCTTCTCGTTGTTTCTTGTACTCTTGCTTGCTGGTATCAAGTAACCGGACTGACGCCGCCCAGAATAGAAGGGGCTTGTGTGTTGTGGAGAGGGGCAAAAAAAAGAAAAAGTACTGGGCGCAGCCCATTGGCTGAGTCCAGCACGCCTCCGGCAAAAGAGGCGATGAATTTGATGGCTCCCATAGTGCCATCCCATTAGCTGAAGGGAGCACCCTAAGCTGAATTTTGCTTTCTTTATCGCGAAGAAAGAGTGTTGTTTTTATCTGAAGAAATGCAGAAACCACTTTTTAAATGACAAAAGCAGGTCCTGCAGCACTGTCGCAGGTTTAAAACGAGTGCTAGTCGGTCCTAGTCCCTGGGAGGCAGAACTTGGTTTCTTAAAAGTGAGCTGTGAACTAGGCTACCACCCGGGCCGCCCGGGTCCCGGGTGGCCAGCCCGTGCAAGGACCAGGGAAGGTCCCAGCAAAAAAAAAAAAAAAACAAAAAAAAAACTATCTTATGCAGAAAAATAAACTCAACAACTTTTGCCTCAGGGTCACATCGAAATTCTGCACCAAAATTAGAAAACAAAATAAAATTTAAATATATATATATATTTTTAATATTTTTTATTTTTTTAATTGTTTTTGGCCCGGCCGGGCAAGTGGCCCCGGGCCATTCTGGTAGCCTAGGCTGTGAAACAACTACAAAAATAATTACAAAAAAAATAGTAAAAAATGGTAAAACCACCCCTGCTGCGGAACATGTATTGCCGAACAAAATCGTTCCACCGGCTCTGGCCTGCTGTCCCTGAAACGTTTAAAACGAGTGCTAGTCGGTCGCAGGCTATGCTGATCAATCTATGCTATGCATTCAGTTTGTGCAAAATTCATTTCCACGGCCAAACATAGTCCCTTTTTATTTTTTGAATATTTTTCCCTGATGCATCTGAACCTAACCGACATTCGTGATTTGTTTCATACTTCTTCGTCAATGGAAATGAGAAGTGAAAATTGCCGAAGTTGAGGGGGTTAAAGTTTGTGCACCCCCTCCTCCTGGTACCCCCACCTCAAGGTCGGATAGGCCGAGCCTTTCCACGGCCTCAATTTCCCCCCCCCCCCCCCCCCGAACCCCACGGCCTCCATGTTAGATGCCCAACTTTAGGAGGACGGGGTTCACCGGTAGTGGTTAGAGTCGTCCTCTTTTATAAACCGGCCTAGTCTTAATAAATGTCTTCGTAATCCTGCAGGTATTCTGCTGCATCCTTGCCCGGTACTCCCCTTAGGTGTGTGGTAGGCTGAGCGTTTCCACGGCCTGCCTCCATGTTAAGGGCCCCAACTTTAGGAGGACCGGGGTCACCAGTAGGAGTTTAAATCATGGTTATGCCGACCAGGACACCGGGCAAGTCCAGACGTCCAGCTGGACCTGTGTCTGGACTGCTCCAGACCGTCCAGACTGAAAAAAAACTAAAAAAAAAAACGTTTTTTTTCCCCCCTTGGATTTTGGCTACGAATTTCGAGATGGTCCTCAGCCAAAAGATTTTTGTATTGCAATGCTGCACAACATATATTAAACATTTTCAGATTTTTGTATTGCAATGCTGCACAACATATGTTAAAGTCGGATTTTTTTGGGGGGTGGGGGTGGGGGGATGGATCCCGGGACACTCTGGACCGGACACCAGACCTGGAGACCCAGACCGTCCACACTGCAGTTTGGACGTCCGGATCCTGACCATCGTTTAAAACTTTAAATGGTTCTGCTTTTCGCTAACCGGATTGTCTTACCTGCAAACAGCTTCCTTCTAACCTGAACTGTCTTCCTACTCCCTGCAGGTATTGTGGTGCCCGCGAGAACCTGACAATTGATCATGTGCTGGCGACATCGCGAGGAGGCAAGTGGAGTTGGGAGAATCTGGTATCCTCTACTATGCTGCCCTGTTTTTTTCTTTTCTTTTTTAATGCTGTCCTTCTGGCCTAGGCTACCATCGGCCTTCCGAGTCATCCAGAATCATCCACCTTTGTTTGGGTTTTCCCCAACAAGAAACGGACCACGGCCTCCTTTCGTATGCTCTCTCCCCACCCCTCCCTTCTCTGCTCCCATCCCCCTTCCCTTGAGAATGGTCTACAGGAGTCATAGCAACAGTACCACCCTGGCTGTCATTTGTACGGCCTTCAACCTCCTACCCCTCTACTTTTCCCGGGCCTTTTTTTTTTTTTTTTTTCAATAAGAGGGATGGTGGCAAGAGGGTGGACGGCATTTGCAGCCATTTGTACGCGTCCTTCAAGACCCTATCCATTCGTACGTCCTTCAACCCCCTATACCTGGGGAAGAGATGGTGGGGTGGGGCGTGGCGGACGAGCACAAATGACTGGTGACTGGTCCTCATCGTAATTGAATGATTACCACAAGCCCTCCGCTGTATGAGGCCAGCCATGTGTGTTTGTCTGCCCCACCATCTCTCAGTCTTTGAGGAGGAATGATGAGGACATGCTACCAAGGAGCTCCTCTGCAGCAGCTATGGCTGAACTCTCCGGATACACACTCTCCAGCTCAGCTTTCTCTACCCCCAGGCCTCGGGCTCTACCTCATATCTCCCGTCTTCTCTCACACTCGTCTACGGTGTGTCCCCACCTCTTATT